CAAAATAGTCCTCTTCTCTTTGGGCTGCCAACCACTAAGTCTTCATTAGTAAAATGAAAACAAATGGTAAACACAGAAGCGGCCAGAGCCGCCTTCCCTACCAGGAATGAGACAGCAAGCGAGTGAAAAGTAAGCTAAGGAGATGGAGTTGGGGGCAGGGGCTAGGACGATGTTCCAGCTCACAAGCCGGGAGGAATCTAAGACAGCAAGTGGGAGGATCTCAAGACGCAGCTTCTGTCCTGCAAACCCGGACCCCCTACATTCTTCCCGGTAGATGGGCCCGAGTCTGAGGCGGTGAGGGAGGCCCGCGTTCCGCTGCTCAGCGCAGACACCTGTCAAAAGGCCCTGGGGCCTGGTTTGCGTCCCAGCACCATGCTCTGCGCTGGTTACCTGGCAGGGGGCATCGACTCATGCCAGGTATGAACTCAGACTGACAGGGGGCATTGGATACGCTGCTCCCCCTAGCAAAATAGTCCTCTTCTCTTTGGGCTGCCAACCGCTAAGTCTTCATTAGTAAAATGAAAATAAATGGTAAACACAGAAGAGGCCAGAGCCGCCTTCCCTACCAGGAATGAGACAGGTATAACTCAGAAACATGGTGAATTCACTATTCTTTGTTGGCTCTGGTCCCTTAGGGTGACTCCGGAGGTCCTTTAACCTGTTCCGAGCCCGGCCCGCGCCCCAGAGAGGTCCTCTTTGGAGTCACTTCTTGGGGGGACGGCTGTGGGGAGCCAGGGAAGCCTGGTGTCTACACCCGCGTGGCCGTATTCAAAGACTGGCTGCAGGAGCAGATGAGCGGTGAGCAACCCCTGCCAACGATGGTCCCTTAGGCGGCCAGACTCTCTGGACAAGTCGGTTTCCACCCCCTCTGCTCTGATCTCTGGAGGAGTTGAGGGGTGATTTGTCATCTGCTTGCAGCGGCCCCCTCCACTCGCGAGCCTAGCTGCAGAGAACTTCTAACTTGGGAGCCCCTGGAGGAGGAGCGGGCCCCGGAAGCCGCGGGGCTCTGCGCCTTCTACGCGCGCCTGTGCCCGGGGTCCGATCGCTCCTGTGAGCACCTGGCTCTCCAGCAGTGTCTGCAGCGCCGGCGGCGGTGCGGTCAGTCGGGTTCTCCCAGGTCGGCATAGGGGGCCACGTCCCCCTTGGACGACGGCTCAGACCTTGTCCCACCCCCACCCTCAGAGCTGCGGTCGCTGGCTCACACGCTGCTCGGCCTGCTGCGGGGCGCTCAAGAGCTGCTCGGACCCCGGCCGGGGCTGCGACGTGGCGTCCCCGCGCCTGCTCGCTCGGCTCCGTCGCTCCGGGAGCCTCCCGGCCACAGTGCCCGCGAACAGCAGTTGTACTCAGGTATCCCGTGTGCCCCAGCCAGGCCTAGGCCCTATAGTCGCGGGGTCGTATTCCCTCGCCGAAGTGTGCATCCTATGTAGTCTCCCACAGGATCCCGAGTTGCAGGAACCAGGCTCCAGAAGCCAAAACCAGAGAGGCGCGCGGAAACAAAGGGTAATGTTGCCCTCTGCCGGCCTTCTAGAGAGGTGGTGGGATTGTCCCTTAGAAAGCCCCAGCAACAGAGAAGACCGCTCACTCTCTCTTCAAGGAGAGAGAACAGATGACTTTTGGGAGATGTGGCACTGAGCCCTCGTTGGCATCAGATAGAGGCACTCCGCTTTGCATGACCACGGAATCTCTGCCAGCCTCAGTTTCCCTATCTGGAGCCCGCAAAGGATGCGGGCACTGGGATGTCCACCCCTAGGACCCTCTGTTGTCCGTTTTCTGATAGTTTGGGGGTCTTCCCTTCTTGCAGGCTGCCCTGGGTTGGAGCCTCTGCAACAGAAGCTGGCTGCCATTCAGCGAGCACATGCGTGGCTGCTACAGATCCCGGCTGAGCACTTGGCTATGAACTTTCACGAGGTAGGTCCCCAGGCTTCTCAGGCTCCTTCACAGTGGCCTAGGAAGGCTCACCTGACTCGAGCTCTGTGCAGCGAAGGGACAGGAGGATCCAGCTTTCCGGGGCTGGTGAGCTGGGATAACAGGTGGATATGAAGAGAGGAGGTAGAGAGGTAAGAGGTAAGGACTCATATGGATATTCACCTGATCAGGAAATTAGGGGAACTTCGGGGACAGAAAGGGGGAGGGCCTAAGACCTAAATGGTTTCCCAGGCTCCAGGAAGACTGAATGGTCCCCAGGTCAAAACTCTTCAGAAGCGGTTTTCTCCCTCTGCAGGTGCTGGCAGATCTGGGCTCCAAGACACTCACAGGGCTTTTCAGAGCTTGGGCGAGGGCCAGCTTGGGGGGCCAGCGTGTGGTCTTCAGTGGCCTGGTGGGCTTAGAGCCTTCTACACTGGCTCATAGTATCCCCCGGCTGCTAGTGCAGGCCCTGAAGGCCTTCCGCTCAGCTTTCCAGACAGAAGGAGAGCCCCAGGAACCCTGGATGCATGTGGCACAGGAACAGAGGCTGGGCAAGGAGCACCACCGCCAGCTCCAGCCTCTTGTTCCCTGAGGCAAGAAGCCCTATGAAGGTCACACTGTACCCAGGGGCTAAGAAGGTGGTATGAGATATGACAGACTCACTATCCCAGTTGATCTTATACGTGTGGATAGGGTGGGGGTCCTTACCTCATGTCTTCCCAAATGTGTCACCAGACACAGCTGCTTTAATAAATGTTATTTATAATCTACATTAAAATCTGGAGCCTTATTGGGATGGAGCATTAGACAGGAGGGGGGCAGGGGACAGCCTCCAGAAGCAGTTAACAGAGAGGACAAAGGAGCTGGGAGGAGCCAGGGGTGGTGGCTCATGCTTGCAGTTCTAGCCCTCTGGAAACTAAGGCAGGAGGATTGCTATGAGTGGGGAACGTGCTGTGCAAGTGTAAGGATCTGAGTTCAGGCTCTCAGCACCCAGGTGAAAGCCACGGGTGTAGCAGCACACCTGTAACCCCAGCCCTGGATGAGGAGGGCCCAGTGGGGACAGACCAATCTCAGGAGTCCGCTGGCCATTCTAGCTGCTTCAGTCAAGCTCTAGGTCTCTGTCTTGGAAAATAAGGTGGAGGGGTGCAGTTGGAAACCAGCAGCAGCTACAGGGTCGCCGTTCTCCGTGGCTTTCCTCGTCTCCCTCTCACATGGCTTTGGTGCGGCTGTCTCAAGTGGCTGATCAGTGATCTCAAGGTGTGCAAGCCAACCATGCCAGAGGGAGTGGAGGGCAAGGCTGTGCTCTTCCTCCTGAGTGAGGAGAAGGACTCCATCCTCAGGGAGGGCACAGAGATGCGGCAGGTGACATGGGCCAAACCTATGACAAGATGCTGCCAGAACAGGACACTGCCTCTGTGTCCTCCACTGTGCAACCTATGAGACCAAAGGCAGCAAGAAGGATGACCTGCAGCTCATCTTCTGTGACTTTAAGAGTGTCCCCCACCGCTGCATATGAGCAAAATGATGCATGTCAGCTCCAAAGATGTCATGGGGAAGCTGACAGAGGTCGAGGACAGCTGCATCCTGGCAGTAGACAGTGACAGCACTGTCATCTCCCTGGAGAGCACGCCTTTAGCAGCCACCTCCAACCCCCTGCTTAGAACAGAGAACAGCCTCAGACCTGCCTGTGGGTACTGCAGGCCGCTCTCTTCTTGCCAGACCCCTTGGGCATCCCTTCACCCCATGGCCTGACAATCTCCCTGAGCCCTGGACCGGCAGCCTCCCTGCACTCTGATGGTTCTGCCTTTCCTAAATTGCTTTCCTCTTGTGTAGAACAGATCACGATGTCCCAGGCACCCAGTTTGAAGATGTGTTGCATTCTTTTAACATCTATCCCTACTGTCAGCTTCTAGTGACAGTCATTACTCTGGGCGTGACTGTCTAACTCAGTGTTTAAGGGGAAAGTTGTGGGAACGATGCCTCCTTGCCCCAGTGGGTTCCGCTCCCTTTTTCCTTGGCCTTGGCTACTCATGGAAGCAGCAAAGGTAAGGAACTTTCAGTTAAAATTAAACAAATAAAGAAAAGGAAAAAATGGGCCAGTGTGATGGCTCAGCAGGTAAAGGCGCCTGCTGCCAAGCCTGACAACCTGAGTTTGATTCCCAGGACCCACATAGTGGAAGGCAAGAATTCATTCCTTCAAGTTGTCCTCTGACTTCGACACATGTGCCATGCAACAAATACATATGAACACACACACACACACACACACACACACACACACACACACACACAATAAATAAATAGATATATCCTGGAACTCACTCTGTAGACCAGGCTGGCCTAGAATTCACCTGCCTCTGCCTCCCGAGTGCTGGGATTTAAAGGCACGTACCATGCCTGTCTGGCTAATAAATGTAATATTTTTAAAGACAAAATAAAATTTAAAAAAAGCACAAGTAAAGGTGGAAAGCTATCAAGATAGCTCAGCCAGTAACAGGTTTAACTGACCTGACATAACCTGAGTTCACCACCTGAACCTTTTTATAAAGAGAGAAACAACTGTGAGTTATCCTCTGGCCAAATATACTGTGGCATGTGCACTCTCACACTCTTGCACAAACACTAACATTAAATGAATAAAAATATAAAAACAGGTAAGATGGGGAATAATAGACTTTGATCTTCATAGGCCCACACACAAACACATGTATACGCACTAGACACATGTACATACATCATACACATATACCATATGCACAAAAGAAGCTGGAGACAGGGCAGCTGCTAACATGCCTTTTACCTCCCGAGTGGCAGCTGTTGGCCTGTGTCACCACCCTATCCATGGCTGCCAGCATGGACGACAACACACACACACACACCATGTGTCCCCTCCACCCCTACCAGCCTCCACCCTCTCAGCTCTCTGTGACAATCCCTGCCTGGGATCTTTGCATCCTGCCCTTGGGCTCCTGCCCTAGCTGGCAAGCCCACCCCCTCATCACCAGCCTTGAAGTATCAGATTGCGTTTCCGGCTTCTTCTTTCCAAACCCCGGAGCCAACCCAGCACCTGTTCCATTCCACAGCCAACAGACTGAGGGAAAGACATAAGCCCTAGTCAGAGGTGGGGGATGGCAGGGCTTGTGCCCACACTGGGGCTGCTGGCTGTCCTAGTTGTGTGTGGTAAGGGTGGCCATGACTCCCTTCCTGGGGGTTCTCTATGCCCACCTGTCCCCACCACCACTGCATGGTCCCCTCCCTAAGATTATGCCTAATTCCCACTCCCACCCGAGCCTAACTTCAGGTGTCCCTCTCCCAGGGAGCAGATGGCTTCCCTTTGTTCTGCCCAGCAGGACCACAGCGAAGCTTCCTATCTGGGTCCAGTAACCAGCACCCTGTTTCTCTCCCCAGCCCTCCCAGGCAGCTGGGGCCTGAATGAGGAGCAACGGCTGATTCAGCACCTATTCAAGGAAAAGAACTACAAGAAGGAACTCCGGCCGGTGGCTCGCAAGGAGGACAAAGTGGATGTTGCTCTAAGTCTCACCCTGTCCAATCTCATCTCCCTGGTGAGTGGACCATCCCGAGCCAGGGTGGTCTGGGCTGGGCTGGACTGGGCTGGGGCAGGAGAGGAAGTAGAGAAGGGGCAGTTGCTCTAGGCTGACCCAGCTTCTCTTCCACGAGACACGCCTGACTGTTCTCCATGCTGGATGGTGCCACAGGCCTGTGGCTACCCAAAGCCATCAGCTGTGCCTTCCACTGCCACTGCCGGTCGCCACGTTCCCCCAGAACTCACTTCAGCAGCCCTGTGCCCTCTGCTTCTGTAGTCTGCTGACCCACCTCTACTTGCTGCTCTAGCTGGCACTGTCCCTTCCAGCTGCCATGGTCCACTGATATCAGGCGGCGAATTAGTGAGTGGGCTTGAGTGAACGCTCGATGGGAACCTTTGGGGACAGCCCTCTTGTCTGATTACAGAAAGAAGTGGAGGAGACCCTCACCACCAACGTGTGGATAGATCACGTAAGGACACCCTGCTGAAGGCCCCTGTCCCTTGTGCTCACTTCTGCTAGGGATCCACAAGCCCCTGCCAACACTTCTTTGGGGGAGCTTGACTACACAGAGCCCAGCTGCCCTTTTCCACTGGGGCCTCTGCTAGCTCCAAGGACATGTCTAAGAAGACTAGGGTTTCCTCTGTGCTAAAACTACCACCCTGTCCTGATTTGCTTTGTTGTTGTTTTGAGACAGGGTTCTCTGGCACTAGGTCTCTGGCTGGCCTAGAATTTACTGTGCAGACCAGGCTAGCGTCAAACTCACAGAGGTTCGTTTGCATCTGCCTCTGGATCACTGGGATTAAAGGTGTGCACCACCATGTCTGCCCCTATTTGCATTAGAAGTAGTAGAGGTTCATAACATCAAAACAAGCTTGCCCAGGATGGAAACTGCTCCTTAGCGGTGGAATACAAATCCTGCACAGCTGTCCATGAGTCTCACTCTTTACTCTATCTCCCCCAAACTTCTTTTGTTCCAACTCCCAGGCTTTGCTCCACCTTCCCTAGAGAAGTGAGGACCACTGGGGAGGGTGGACAGTGGCAGAGCCCACCTCTGATGAGCCTTTTGGACTTCTAGGCCTGGGTAGACAGCCGGCTACAATGGGATGCTCACGACTTTGGGAACATCACTGTCCTGCGCTTGCCCTCCGACATGGTGTGGCTACCGGAGATTGTGCTGGAGAACAAGTTGAGAGGAGCCCTCCCAGACTGCCCTCCCTCATCCTGCTTCCCTTCCTCATGCTCCGTAGCCTGCACCTCCAAACCTGCCTGCCCACCCTTCCTCTCCTGCCTCCTCTAGCCCTGCCAGTTCCTGGCTGCCCAGGGTACACAGTGATCATGGTTCCCATCCCACAGCAATGATGGCTCCTTCAAGGTTTCTTTCGCCTGCAATGTGCTTGTTTATAATTCGGGCTCTGTGACCTGGCTGCCACCCACCATCTACCGTTCCTCCTGCCCTATCTCGGTCACCTACTTCCCTTTCGATTGGCAGAACTGCTCCCTCAAATTCAGGTGCGTCCACCTGAATGTCTTTCTGTCCAAGGAACCCTGCCAGGGCCAGGAGGTGGTGAATGAAACGCTCTCAGGCAGAGGCCTTGGTCCTATGCTGACCAGAATCCCCTCAGGCCATGGTTCCCCAACTAGCCCTTTCCCCTCCACCACCACCTCCTGCCCCAGAAGCCCCATCCAGAGGCTCATGCCCGCTCTTTGCCTAATGCTCTCTCCAGTTCACTCAAGTATACAGCCAAGGAGATCAGCCTTAGCCTGATGCAGGTGGAGGAAGATGGCCGTGCCTACCCCATCGAGTGGATTATCATTGACCCTGAGGGTTTCACAGGTACTTCAGAAACCATGGTGGACTGGCCCTGAAGACACATACATTGTGGATGTGCACACGGTCACACCAGCACCTTACACACTCACAGCTAGGACACCAACCTATGTATAGACAGGGACAGGCATGTAAACACAACCTACGTTTACTGACCCAAAGAAATTCAAAAGCAGAGCTGAAGGGAATAGGGATCCTCTTGTCATTACTACCCTCAACACACATGGGAGAGAGTTGAGAGTATGGCAGGGTCTCTGGGGATGGATGGGACTGATACAGGGATGATCGGGCCTTCCTGTACCTGGAGAGCCTGGGATGTGACTGGAGGTCCCATGAATGGATGTAGGCCATCACAGACTGTATCTGTGACTAGTTTAACTCTGTGGGGCTCCCTGCTCACACTTGTCCAGCAGAAGAACCTGGGCCTTCTGGTTTCAGGACTGGGACATCCTAGACAAGAGTTTTATATTCATCTAATATCCTCCCTAAGGTCTAGGCCAGAGAAGAATGGCCAAGAAATGTCATTGAAGCTTTGGTTTCTAACTTAGAAGACAGACTCAAAAGGGCATGGTAACACACACCTGTAATCCCAGCACTTGGGAGACGGAAAAAGAACTGCTCCAATTTCAAAGCCAGTCTAGTCTACACGGGGAGATTCAGGCCAGCCAGGGCTGTTTCAAACAAACAAACAAACAAAACAAAACAAAACTAGCAAAGCAAAAGGGGAAAAAAAAGCCAGTGTGGTGGTGCAAAACTGTAATCCCAGTACTTCAGAGGCTGAGGTGGGAGGATCATAAGGTCAAAGGTAGCCTTGACTACATAGTAATAACGTGATACCAGCCTGAACTGCAAACTCTAGGACAGAGAGCATTTATGCTGTTTTTTTTTTTTTAAGTACTACATTTTGTTTACTTTGTGCACGTGTGTGTGTGTGTGTGTGTGTGTGTGTGTGTGTGCGTGTATGTGCGTGAGCACACCCGAGCACGTGTGGACATACATGCCATACATAGCACATGTGTCAAAGTCAGAGGACAATTGGCATGAGTCAGTTCTCTCCTTCCCCGAGTCCCAGAGATAGAACTCAAGTCACCAGGCTTGGCAGACACCTTCCAACTCATGAAATCATCTCACTGGCTCCTGACAGTGATTTTTAAAAAGTTTCTCTTTAATTGTCACATAACCTACTTTTGACTTGTATCTTTAAAACATATGTACTTATATATTTTACGTGTCTGGGTGTCTCATCTGCATCTGCACACCAGAAGGGGGCGTCTGATCCCACGGGACTATAACTACAGTTATAGACTGTTGTGAGTGGCTATGTGGGTGCTAGAAATTGAACACGGGCTTTCTGAAAGAGCAGCCAAGTGCTTTAACTGCTGGGCGTCTCTCCAGACCCCTGTGATAGCTTTTAAGCCAAAATATATTACTTATTTGAACCTTGTATGGCTTCAGCTGCTGGGCTTTTTTTCCAAAGAGAGAAAGAGGAAACACACACACACACCACCACCACCACCAAACAAACAGAACATAAAAGAACAGACCCCCCTAGAAAAGTCACTGAGGGAAACATCTTGTTTGGAGACTGAACTTGCTAGCCCAACTCCCAGAGATAAACCCCACAGCACCCGACTCCTCCATGCCTCAACACTCCATGCCACAGCACCCTGGCCTGCTTTGCTCCCAGCAGTCCTTGGGCCCATGGGTTCCCTTCTCCAGCTTGATCACAAGCTGTGTCCTTATACCTCCCTCAGAGAACGGAGAATGGGAGATAGTCCACCGGGCCGCCAAGGTCAATGTGGATCCCAGCGTCCCGATGGACAGCACCAACCACCAAGACATCACCTTCTACCTCATCATCCGCCGCAAGCCTCTCTTCTACATCATCAACATCCTGGTACCCTGTGTGCTCATCTCCTTCATGATCAACCTGGTCTTCTACCTGCCAGGCGACAGTGAGCCTCAAGCCCCACTCCCTGGCAGCCTCTCCCAAGTCTGCCTAGCATGGGTGTTGCAGCCCCTCCCTTCTCTTCGTGGTGAGGGCAGCAATGGCCCTGGATGCCATTGTGTATAAGAACTCAGGCAGGAATGGCAGGCAGGCCTGGCTGGTCTTTGGTTTAGGGACTGCATGTTGGGGTTCTGCCAGGGTGCCTGGGATCTTTCTGAGTGGCAGGCTCTGGGCAAACATAATAGTGAGTGATGATCGCTCACCCAGTGCTGTGCTTGAGAAACAGGGATTTGAGGCAAGGGTGCTTGTCCAGATCTCTCAGCTAATAAGCTGTGTGGAGCCAAGACTTAAATCTGGGCACAAGGTGCTGTACCCTAAGATGCTTATCATGGCATTGTGAACAGTGGTAGCAGGACCCTGCTGTGGGACAGGACCTTGTGGACTTGGGGTGTGAGCTTCCAGCTAAGCCTTACTCTCCAGGTGGAGAGAAGACATCAGTGGCCATCTCAGTGCTCCTGGCCCAATCTGTCTTCCTGTTGCTTATCTCCAAGAGGCTGCCTGCCACATCCATGGCCATCCCCCTGGTAGGCAAGTGAGTACAGTGCGGCCCACACCCAGCCCTGTCCACGCCTCTGCCCTAAGTCCCCAGCTCCAGGCATGCTGTGTCCCCTCAGGTTCCTGCTCTTTGGCATGGTGCTGGTCACGATGGTTGTGATAATCTGTGTTATCGTGCTCAACATACACTTCCGAACACCCAGCACCCATGTGCTGTCTGAGGGAGTCAAGAAGGTGAGTGTTTCACTAACGCTAGAAACCAAGTCCTGGCCAGGAGGAGCCATGAGAGTAATGTGTATGCTGAGAAGTCCCAGCCACAGAAGCCCTGGACCCATCCTCGGCCCCGCTGAACTTTAAACAATAAGGGGCCAGTTAGATGGCTCAGTGGGTTGGAGTACTTGCCACCAAGCTTGGCCACCTGAGTTTGAGCCTCAGGGCCCATGTGGAATAAGGGGAGGACCAACTTCTGCAGGAGGTAGGGGACATCTGCGTGCGCGCGCGCGCACACACACACACACACACACACACACACACACACACACACATACTCGCGTGCATGCACACACGTGCACATAAATAAATGTAATTTTAAAATTAAAACAAAATTAAAAAGCTTTTTTTTTTTTTGTGAGGACAGAGAGGACATGGTGCTTGGGACAAGGCTATCTCTGTCCTCAGTCACTGAAGGCCAGCAGGTTCTTCTGGAACAAGTCTTTGGGATGATGGTTCGGTAGCGCTTTAACAGCTTTTGTCTTTAATTGCTTGGAGGGAAAGCTCAACATTTGGCCTTTTATTTATTTGAGACGGGGTCTTACTATGCAGCTCATAAAAAAGCTCGGTTAGTAGGATGCTTGCTTGCCTAGCATGCACGAGGCCTAATCCTGAGTGTGAACCCAGCCTGATGGCACAGAGCCTATAATCCTAGTGGTGAGTTCTAGGCTAAGCTGGGGTGCATGAGACCCTGACTCAAATAAAGAAGAGGAGGAGGAAGAAAGAGGAGAGGAAAGAAAGGGAGGAGGCTGGGGTGAGGCTTGGTGATAAAATGTATGCTCAAACTCTTAATTCTCCTGCCTCAGCCTTCTGAATGTGGGGATTAAAGGTATGCACCCCCGATCCTCAGTTTCTTTTTGTTTGTAAGATTTCCAGGGACTGAGTTCTGCTCTGTGCTGTGAGTAATGAGGGAGAGCTGAAAGTCTCCTACATGACAACCAGTGGGGATTCTGGGAACAGGTGGTGGGGTTGGTCTGGGAGCTACATGTGGCAACCAGGGACATTAGAATGCATAAAAGCCACTCCACATTTGTGAATGACCTGTCTTCCTGCTAAAGTTCTTCCTGAAGACCCTGCCCAAGATCCTGCACATGTCCCACGCAGCAGAGGAAAACCCTGGCCCCGGGACTCTCATCCGGAGAAGCAGCTCCCTGGGATACATCTCCAAAGCGGAGGAGTACTTCTCCCTTAAGTCCCGCAGCGACCTCATGTTTGAAAAGCAGTCAGAGCGGCACGGGCTGGCCCGGCGCCTCACCACAGCCCGTGAGTCCTGGTAGCCTTGGAGCCTGGTCTCTGTGTGGGAAGAGGGCATGGATGGCCATCACTCCTGCCCCTGACCCATGTCCACAGGCAGGCTCCCAGCAAGCTCTGAGCAGGCCCAACAGGAGCTTTTCAGTGAGCTGAAGCCAGCTATGGATGGGGCAAACTTCATCGTCAACCACATGAGGGACCAAAACAGTTACAATGAGGTAAGTGACTTGGGCTCACCATCAAATCAGATACTCAAGAAGTATACAATCAAGGGAATTCTGTCTTCCCTCATATACTTTACCTCATATGCCCACCTAAATGAAGAGCTGAGTGGTGGGTAAGGATCCCACGCTGTATGCTCTCCCAGAAGGCAGAATTCCTTCGTGAAACCCCACAGCATCACACTGGGCCAAGCACAAGCTCAGGGGCCCAAACAGACACACAATCAATCCTACCTCACTAGGACACATTCCAATCACTTCCCGGGTCCCTTCTTACTGTTCAGATGCTCCAGACAGTGTCAGATGTTCATTATTTTTGTTTTATTATGATGTTACTTTTGTGGTGGTACTGATTGACCCAGAGTCTTATGCTGGGGAAGCGCTATAAGCCACTGAGCTAAACCCCTAGCCCAGCACCAGACCTTTAATGGCAGCCATACTGGGTTGTCTATTCTTAAGCAACTTCTTAACAGGTCTCCATTATATACTCCTGTTCCGCATGGGCTGTCCCAACCCACCCTAAGTGATGCAAGCCTAAGGTGGGCCCCACAGACACACAGAAGCCAAGCCTATTGTGCCTCCACTTCTGGGAACTAATTAGGGGTATGGGCCTGCAGTCTGAGGGCCTCCCTCGCCCCCATGTGTCTTTGCACTCCTTGTAGGAGAAGGACAACTGGAACCAGGTGGCCCGCACGGTGGACCGTCTCTGCCTGTTTGTGGTGACACCCGTGATGGTCGTGGGCACAGCCTGGATCTTCCTACAGGGTGTCTACAACCAGCCCCCACCCCAGCCTTTCCCCGGGGACCCCTTCTCCTACAATGAGAAGGACAGGCGCTTCATCTAGAGCAGGCATGAGTGGGCAGCCGGGGAGACAGTAGCCCGAGAATAGCAATATTAGTCCTGGCCTTGAGCTTGGGCCTAGCTGATGCTGGGCTGAAGACAAGGTAGAGAGGGACCCTCTCTCAGGAGCAGTTCCTTTCCAAATAAAGGAGGGGGGACTTGAGATGGGCTGAGAGGGGGCATGGCGGGAGGGAGGCCGCAGGGATGGGGGAGAGGCAACGGGTTTGCTCAGGGGCCAGGGAGGTGACAGTGGGGTTAGCTTCTTGGGAAGAGCCCGAGACTCTTCTCTCCCTGCTCCTTGCAAGTCACAACTGAGTTCCTTGTCTTCTTCCCTACCTGACCTTCAAACTCAGGCCCCCAGTGCCCACCTGGGGCTCAAGAGGGGTCCTATTCCCCAGGGGGAAAAGGCTTTCTATGGTGAGGGACTGTCCAGAGTGTCATCTGCCAGCCCTTGATCCCTTGATCATCCTATCTGGGTCCTTCTGAGAAGCTTGGGACTGCTGTGGAAGGGCCGTGCTTGGCATCAATTAAGGCCCCATCGGCCTGAGTTGTGCATATTCTAGAGCTCCAGGCCTCAGCCTCCCTAAAGTACCCCTACACCAAGTCCCTTCCTCCTTGTCCCCAAGTTTCCCAAACCAGGGTTGCCTTGCAATATTAAAGACACACTTGTGATAAAGAATTGTCTGAAGTTCAAATTCCAATGTGTGCCCAGTTGTCTTATTGACTACAGCTGTCAACCCTATCCTAAAGGAGGCTACATTGAGCCATCCCAAGTCCTATCAGTCACGGGCACAAGGAGACTAGGCCTGAGTGTAACCTGCAAAGCCCGCCTCGTGATTCGCACCTTGCAGCAGCCCCTGACTCCCTCCTGGTGTTCAGGGTAACATGTAGAAGGAGATGGAAGTGATGACAGGTCAGTGCTGCTATCGCTGGGCATGGTGGCATGCACCTTTAATCCCAGCATTCAGAGGACAGAGACCGGTGGATCTCTGTGAGTCTGAGACCAGCCGGAGCTGGTCTCACAAAAGAAACCCTGGCTCACAAAAGGAAAAGAGCAGTGGTCTCCCTCCCACGCTCCCAGGCTCTGTAGGAAGCCAGCTACAGCACCGAGGCTCTGTAGGAAAGTCCATCTAACAGCAGCCACTGGGTGGGTAAACTGGAAAGGGGGAGGGGGTCTTTCTGGTAGGACATGGTAGGATCTCCAGATAAGAGCTGAGCCCCTTCCCAGTTCTGGACCCTCAGATCTGTGGGGGATAATAAGTGTTTGGGGGCACAGAGTTTGTGGTAATTTGTTTCACTCACGGTATGATCTTCAGCGACCTTCCATTCCTGTCATAGCCTCGGTTTTACCTTTTTGTTTTGTGATGGGAGATGTCATTCGGTATATATGTTTCTCATACTCGTTAATGAATAAAACACTGTTGGCCAATAGGAAAGGAAGATAGGTGGGACTAGGAGACAAGGAGAAAAGAGGAAGTAGGAAGGAGGAGAGAAGATGGAAGATGGAGAGAGCAGAACGCCAGCGGCCTCTCTCTCCGGTAAGATAAGGCCACATGAAAATTAATAGAAATGGGTTAATACTTAAGACAGAGCTAGCTGATAAGAAATAAGTAACTGGCCAACAGCATTATATCAAATACAGAGTCTCAGTGTGTTATTTGGGGCTGGCGTGGCGGCGGGACAAGTTTTGTTTTTTTTTTTTTTTGATGCTTGGGTTGGAACCCACAGGCCTGCACATGCAAGGCAAGCATTCCCATTATTTAGCTGCACCCCAACCTTTAGTTTCAGAACCTTCATCTGCACTATGCATGAAGTAAGCCCTGTTCACAAGTTGTTGTTAACACTGAATTTGCTTGTTGGGGTAAAAGTACCTGTGTTCTAGAAACTTAGGGAATCTAAGGGCCATTTCTTGTCCTGATCCTCATTTGTGGGCTTGGATTGCAGGACAAGGTTAAGGGGTTTGTGCCCAGGACTCCTGCATCCTAGCCAACCTTGTGGCAGAGAAGAGCCAAGATGGGTGACAGTGGCCCAAGTATTCCCCTTCTTGTTGAACACATGTAAGATCATCACAGCTCAGTCTATTTCCTCGGAGTGAAATGGTGAAGCCTTTGGATCTGGCAGTGACAGGTTGCAGTTTTGCATCTTGAGATGTGACTGAGAAAAGGAAAACCCAATTCAACCCCAAACTGACCCTAATTACATCCAGAGTGAACTGGATACAAGCTCAAGGTGAAGTTCAGGGAAAGCAGCTTGACCCAACACATACCAGACAAGCGGGGAGTCCAGGCCTCCCCAGAATTATCCAGCCATCCTCATCCGCCCTTCTTGGCTGCTTTTCTCTGCCATTCATTGACACTGCTGGCACATCCTGCCACATGGTGGCGCTGCTGGCAGCAGGTCCAACAACTAGTAGGGTCCTTATCCCAGCTGAGACTGGATTCTCCAGAGGTGACAACCCCCAAATGCCACACCCAACCAAGGGTGCCTTTTGTGCCTTTCATCAGCACCCTGGGTGCCGTCAGGACTGGTCCTCCATAGTTGACTTGGAACCCATCTCCTTGTGGACCAAGATATCACAGTCATAAAACAGCTTCCCAGGAGGCAGTAAGGTAACCCTGCACTCCCCAGTGCAGTAGAGCTGTCAGTCTTCTCAATGGGTAGCACATCGGTTATGAGTGAACTAGACTTCAAGGACAAAACGCAATGAGCCGTAGCCGCAGCTTAAGCAAGCAGGTGTCCTTTTCCTCACAGTAAGAATTTAGAAGCAGCAATGGTTGTCCTGAATCCATTGTCAATAAATAAATAAATAAATAATCTACTACCCTAGACTGGCTCCCATATCTCTCTGGCCTTATTACTCATGTTTTCTGCCTCAGGTTGGGAACCAGTGCCACAGCTCCGTACTTTACATCTATGTTCTGGTAGGAGAGGAGCCTCCATTTATTACTCCCTTTATCATGAAGCAAAGCTTTCCCACCAGTTCAGGTGGAGGAGCAATTGTCTAGTATACACAGAGCACTGGGGTGGGTCTCCAGCCTGGTAATCCTGGCAGTTGTGAAGGCAGAGGTATGAGGCTCAGAAGCTATAATTGTTCCCTAACTACGTAAGTGGCTTGAGGGCTACACCAGACTGTGTCTCCAAAAGTTAATTAATTAATTACAAAAAAAAATGTGGGCTTTGAAAAAATGGCGGGAGGCAAGTGAGATAGCTCAGTGAGCAAAAGCTTTTGCCACCACAAAAGCCTGATGATCCAAGTTTGATTCCTACCAAACCCAGCACACGGCTTTAATAAAAGCAAGCATTTGGGAGACAGAAGCAGGTAGATCTTTGAGTTCGAAGTCAGTCTGGTCTGCAGAGTAAGTACCAGGACATCCAGAGCTAGCCAGAGAAACTCTGTTGCTTTCTGACCTACACACACACACACACACACACACACACAGGCATACACACCATAGCCATGGCATATGCAAGGGCTTTCACACACATAATCATACAACAATAATATAAACTTTAAAAAAAAAAACCTTCCCATGAAACCTTGGAGCATCTTGTCTTAGTTAGGGTTCCTGTTGCTGTGATCAAACACCATGACCTAAAGCAGCTTGGAGAGGAAAGGGTTTATTTATTTCAGCTTACCATTGTAGTCTATCATGGAGGGAAGTCAGGCCAGGAACTTAAGTAATGGGCCAACAGATTATATCAAATACAGAGTCTCGGTGTGCATTATTTGGGGCTGGCGCGGCGGCGGGACAAGACTGGCGGCGGGAGGAAAAACCCATACTCATTACAGGAACCTAGAGTTAGGAGCTGAGTAGTGACCATGGAGGAGCACTACTTACTGGTTTTTTGTTCATAGCCTACTCAGCTTGCTTTCTTATACAATCCAGAGTCATTTCCCTAAGTGTGGCATTGCCTTCTCTGAGCTGGGCTCACTCACATCTATACCGTAGTCAAGAAATGCTCTACATACTCGCACACAGACAATCTGGACGGTGCATTTTCTCAGCTAGGGTTCCTCTTCCCAGATAATTCTGGCTTGTGTCAAATCAACAACAAATAAACATGCAAACAGCAACAAACCAGGCTCCTCTGTGAACCAATGTAGTCATGTAATGATTTGATCCATGAGATGGGAGCCATATTTTTTAAGTTCAGAATCCGGGAATTGAGCCGGATGAAAAGTGTGTGCCTGGATTGTACACAGACTTTTTCTTGTTATTATTCATTGATGGACAAAGCATTGTACAGCATTGCCACTGCAGTAGGAGCTGACTCCCCATGGGGACTGAGGAGGAGGTGTCACTAGTTAGTTCCAGCCTTTGCAGAGGCTGGAATAAAGAGAGACCCACACACATGCTTCTCTCTTCCTTCGGTAGCTTTCCCTCTCCACACGGGACTCTCCCAGGAGACTCCACCCCTCCTAAGTGACTTGCCCTGCTGAGAATGACAAGCCAGCTCTGTCCCAGAGCACAGAGGGGACAGGGAACAGCCCAAGAAGTCTCAGTCTTCACAGGCTGGAAGGCATCACAATACATGCTGGGGTTGGGCAAAGCAGCCTTACACTTCCCTTTTCTCTCCCAGACACTTGAGCCAAGGAAAGGGTGGATGGAGCTGGAGGGAGGGCAGGTGGCCACTGCTCACACCACGCCCTGACTATAGAGACCATTGCTCATCTCTGGCAAAGGTGGGCCAGATGGAAGCTGAGTCAGAGACTCACGAAGGAAGTGCATTTGGGGGACACCAGAGAGCAAATGAGAGGACCAGAGGCTTCTGCGGTAGACAGGAACCTCCGGCTTTGGACCTTCCAGGAAAGAGTGTCTCCCGGCTGTTTAATGAGTGAATCTGCAGGAAAATGAGAACTTTCAAAAGAAACAGGAACCCAGAGCAGACCTGGAACCAAGGACAAGCCACCCACAAAGTAACTCAGCAGAAGAGGTGTCAATGCAAGAGATGACAGAAGAAGACAGATGCCACCTGACCCCATCCACAGAGTCCTGGTGGCACATGGAGGAC